TGCACGCAGCGTTCAGAGAGGGTTTCAGCACGGCCGGAGTAAATGCACCATTTTGAATCTGTATTTTACAGCTACGGTACCATTCTCATTGCTGTTATTTGTTTTTTCTCGGCCTCCGCTCTCCTTTTTTCTTCCTGTCTGTGGCTTGGTAAGGTAATTAACCTGAGTGAAACCCAAAATAAATCAGGAGTGAGGACGCACGCGTGTGCTATGGAAGTTCTTGGATTATAAAGGAGGCGTGACACCATCAGCCCCACGCAGAAAACCGACACACACTGGCACGAGCACGTTATTTGCCAATCCGCCGTAAATACAGCCGTAAGGATGGGGCAAAATTAAAGACAGACGGTGCAGCTCTTTTGTGCCTGAGCTTAAAAGGGCAGCTCAAAAAGAAGCCGGGCTCATATTTCAAATATGACAATGACTCATCTCTTTTTGTGTCTTATCTCTGTGTGAGCTGGATGTCAGTAGGAAGAAACCAAGATGTCAGGGAAGGAATCACAGAGAGGAGTTCATGATGTACAAATCTTTGTACCATAACACCTGTCCAGATACTGATCCCAGTATCCTCAGAGGGCCAGTACAACTGGTCCAGTTTTGTATTTTTAATAAAAAGTCACAGTTGCCTGAGGAAAGGACAAGTGGGTGAGCTCCAGTATTGATGTCTCCACCAACAGGTTAACCTACTTTTTGCTTTGACACCAGTGCATGCTAGAATAAAGAAAGGCTTTTGTGTGCCAGAGCTGAATATCAGTCTAGTGCTGCACTAGAGCAGCCACACATGAAGGCATCTGATGAACTGAATCACTGCATGACAAGCAAAGAAAAGAATATAGAGAAAAATGAATGAAAAAGGTGTGTGTGCCTCCACGCTTGCCCTTATCTCTGGCTCAGACGAGGCTCCAAACAAGCCCCACGTAAACACTCAATGCTACAGTGGACCTGGCTTGCACTCACTTGCCCAATTTTGCCAAAAAATGGTGAATGTGTATCTGTTGGGAAATGAGATGATTACTTCCTATTCCCTAATTTTACTCGCTGATTAATAACATCAATGTCTAGCCCGGGGAACAGTGAAAAACACTGTACAATAGGCTGGAATTTGTGCAGGCTATGTTGACAATAAAAGCCAAACGGGGACAAATTTATAAAGGAACTGCTCTCTTTGATACATCTTCAAAGTACTGTGCTTCACGTTCATTTACGAATGCCAAGTGATGGCAGAACATAAAAACAGAAAAAATGGCAGACTGAGGTAAAGAAGAATTTCTCCGTTTAGGCTGAAGGTCAGTCTGGTTTGCTGTGGCAGCTTTAAGTCGGCAAAGAGATGCTCCTGACCAGGAAATAGTATTTTTGGGATTGAAAAGTCATTTTTGAAAAGCCATTGCTGCAGCTCATGAGAAGATTCGCTGAGAAACTGAAGCAACGGACACTTTTTTGGGGCGTCCAGTTGCAGTCAGTGCACGATAGGAATTTCCATACAGGAGAAGACAGATTTAATGAAAGAGTACACACACACAGGCATGCTGGCTCACCTTCCTGCGGGATGATCCTCAGGGTGACGCTGAGGCCCGCGTCTTTGATCAGCTTGACGATGTCGGCGTGCGGCATGTTGACGATGGACTGGCTGTTCACGGCCAGTATCCGGTCCCCCACCTTCAGCTTCCCGCAGCGGTCGGCGGGGCTGCCCTCGATGATGCGGCCGATCTTGTGGGGCACGGCTGTCGGGAGGACACAGACGCAGCGCGCTCGGCAGCCGATCGGAGGATTACTGCCTTCCCCGCTCCCACAACCACTCACTTACTGACTGAATATGTCTCAGCCTCTCTCATTTTTTGCTATTCACCCAAGGCTTACGTAAGGTTCCCAGGATTGTTTCATGTGTGTGGGCGATACGCGGATGCTAAAGGCAGTAAACCAGAAATACATGTGTGACTGATGTGCTGTGGGAGGGTATGTATAATTCACTAACCAGACTGAGAGGTGCATTACTTTTTATCCAGTCATGACTTTTTTTTATTTTTTTAAAACCTTGTCTTCTCGTGTTTGGCACTTCCCCTGACACCACACAGAGACTATCTGGTCGTTAACAGGCATCTGGGAGGTTTTACAGTATGTTTAGCACTGGAAACAGTCGCTGTGTAGATCAAAGGACGGCTGACTGAGCCTAAGCGGGACTCACTGTTGGCTGCGGCCGTTTCCGGCCTGTTGAGGGAGCTGATGATGACGAAGCCGAAGCCCTCGCTCTCTTTCCGGTTGATCGTGACGTCGCTGGGCTGGGAGTTGAGCAGCGGCGTCCCGTCGGCGGCGGAGGAGCTTTTGCCCGTGCCGGCGTTGGGGGCCTGGGTGGTGCTGGTCCCAAAGGTGAAGTCACTGCGTGGGGAGCTGTGCTGCGTGGAGACGGAGCCCGGGCTACGTCCGTTCTCCGGGCAAGGCTCACCTAGAGGAAGGGTGAGAGGTCTGAGCCTGGATCCTTTTCACACATCAACATCGGCTTTTCTGCTCTTTTGAAGTGTTCGAGCATGATGATAACAAGCCGAAGGGTCCCTCTTCTTTTTAGTCTGAAGGACAATGTCTCAATGACATTACAAGTTTCAAAGGCTTTTTCGTAGCATGAAAGAACTCTAACCTCTGCTCGTGGATGGCACTGTAAACCTTGCTCAGGCGAAATTGTGTTCCTAAGCCCATGCAGTGATTTTCACAGAAGAATCATCTCTGCTTTGTGCACACTGCTGAACCTTTGTCAATCTTTATTTTACCTCTTTCAGTTCCACTTTTATGTCTGGAATCATGTCATGTCCATCAAAATCAGGAAGAGCTGATATTTTTCCTGAAACATTAAAATGACCGCTCTACTGTGAATGAAACATTTCAATCACTACATTGTGTTTAACATTTAACACCAAGTGACAACTTTTTGGTAATTTGGGTCTCACCTCTACAGGCCCAAAGCAACTTAAAAAAAAGGCATCTCAGAGCTGAGCAGTTAACAACTAAGATTGAAATGAAAAGATGAATCCACAGTGAAGCACTGATTGGATGATTCCATTGTCATGCTTTCAAGTCAATTCTCCAAGCTGGATCTGAGTCCCATTCCTTTAAGCGATCAAGACAGGAACACAACACAGCAGGTCAAAGCACAGAAGTGTTATTTTTGTCCGCGCGCATTCATTTTGGCGTTCTTCCCACTCTCTTTGAACAGATCTTCTAGAAAACACAATGTCCTTTCCTGCATTCTAAGCTTTATCTTTGCTTTACAAGTGTTATGATGTGAACCCACAGCGAGCGCTGTCACTGGAGCTGTCACTTCTTTACACCTACAAGTGTGGAAACTGTTCTCACCCGGAGAAGAAAAAAAAAAAGAAAAAACAATATTCAAAAACCTGTAAAATGGGGGGCAGCAGGTTCAGGCAGAAGTAAGAGTAGAGAACAGACTCTGACACTTTATGAAGAACCAGTGGGAGTCAGACAATTAGGATGGAAGTAAAGGCCAGAGGAGAGGCATGAGTCAGTCAGTAACCTTTGGTGAGAAAAAATTGACAAAGAGGGCGGATAGAGTGGGAAGAATTGGATTGGTGAGAAGAGTGTGTGTACACGTGTGGAGAGGTGGTGATAATGAGAACAGGGGAGGCTGTGGTTCACAGGAGAAGGTGCCCTTCGGGCGTCCAGACTCTAAGCTACAAAGGTAAACAGGCTGAGCTGAGAGCTTGGTTTTTAAAAGCAAGGGCTCTGTGTAAATGCTCGGAGGTTAGAGCCTCGGCTTTCTGTCTGATTAAACCCATTTCCTGAATCATTAGAGGACTGGAAATGTAGTCGTGAACAGGAGAGAAAAAAGAGGGTCAAGAAAATGAAGAGAGAGAAAGCTTGTACTTGCTATATAATCAAGTGTTTTTAAAGTTATTTATCATGCTATTAATCATGCACTCTAAAAGCAAAAAAAAAAACAAACAAAAAAAGGCCTGAAAAAGGAGCCCCAGGTTACATCTTTAAATGCCTTATTTCGTCCGATCAATAATCCAAAAGCGGTGAGCGTTAAACCATGTTTAAAGATGAGAGGATCCCATTAACGATTTCTCACCTGCTGCCTGGAGCCTCCTCCTTATGACCAGATTGACTTGGCCGTTCCGCGCCGCCCCGTGCATCAGGTCGATGACGTATCTGTGAGGCTTCCCCACCACCGGGATCCCGTCCACAAACAGCAGCTCATCGCCGGGTCGCAGCCGCCCGTCTAAATCGGCCGGGCTCTTCTCGATGATGGCCCCTATTAGGATCTGTTAGGAACACAAGCCTTTTAGAGGACATATGGGTTTTTCCCTTTTGGATGCTCACTAGTGTGTGACATGCAGTGGATGTTAAAGCCTTTGTTATTCTGTTACGTGTCATCATGTGACTTTCACAGACGGCAACAACAGCAAAGCAGCCAGAGCCAGCATTCTCTCGGGGTTAAAGGTCAGGAGTTAGGTGTACACAGTGTGTGTGTGGTAGTGGGTTAAAGAGGAGAAAAATGACAGGGTTCCACGCCCATCGCCATACGAGCCTTCTCACGTGTCTCCGGACTCACAGGCTGCCCGGCCTCATCGCCGCCCAGCACCCGGAAGCCGAACCCCGACTTCTGTCTGCGCAGGTTGACCTCAATGTCCTGGTACTCCGCTCCTGGTCCAAAACCAGAGAAAAGCTATTAAAATTTCGCCCAGGGAGCTAAAGAACAGTGTGTGTGTGTGCAGAGAATATGTATTTACCCGAAGAGTCCACAGTAAAAACACTTCTCGGTTGGCTGGATTCTGCATGAAAACAAAGAGAGGGAACCCGCGTAAACAATGGAAAATGAACCAATGTACATAAACAGACACACCCACAGATGCACACATAAGTGGACGGCACAGCGGCACACACAGATGCTTCCAAACCAGCTGAAACGAGGCAGAAAGACCCTGCCTCAGCAATAATGTCACAGCAGAATTTCAGCATCATCCATAAAAGCCAGGAACTGCTTACAGTGTGTAACACACCCGTTCATTATTTACAGTGTGAGGTGGGCTATAAGCACTGATCTGCAATCAGGGGCTTCACACTATGATCTGCAAAGTAGGGAGATGAAGTCAACCACGGACAAGTGGCTGCGAATGAAAAATTGATTCCAATTGTATCTGTTTTATCGTAGTGAGCGCTCTGCGGGGACTCAGCAGGAATGATGAGAGAGGAGAATCATGACTGCAGACAGGCAGACTAACACAGCTGTTATCCCTGGGATGTCGACAATGGTAACAATGTGATATTTAAACACATTTAGAACCGACTGAGTCAGAAATAAATAGCCATTTTTCCAAGTCAGAAATGCCGTAAATAAAACAAACAGACAAACAGACAAATATAAGCACATCGTCTTTGCTGTAAGTCCATTTGGTCGTGGTCCTGAGCTTTTTATCGACTCATATAACGATCTTTAATTCCGAGATGTAGACTGCGCAATGTTGTGACCAACAATAATTACTGTTGTGCATACAAGCGAATATACATCAGAGATTAAACAACCTTTGACATAGTCTGGGGAACCTTTAACACATCATTTAGCACAACTGCTGACATTAATCCATGAAGAGCCTGCTCATAGTGAACACACGGGACGGACATAGCTCCGGGGTTGCGACGGAGCATAAAAGGTCACAACCTACTACATCCTCACCAGTGAGAAGAACAACTGGAGCATGCTTAAATAATGTCTGAACATTTTTCACTACTGAGTTTAGCCAGAACCCCTCCCCTGACCTTTTAGTTGGGGAAAGGTAATGAAAAACAAGGGCCGGGAAACTATGAGAAAAGTCACCGAAGAGGAGACAAAACAGGAGCTCCACTTGGGAATGAACAACATAAAATCTTTAGTGCTTCATGTTAGCAGTACCGACCACAAAGAATCGAGAGAAAAGACAAAACCACAATGGCTCCAAGCGTGTGTAACCAGACGTGACATCCAGAAATACAGAGATCTAAACGCAGCCAAGTTGAGTTTTAAGCATTACGTTGTCTGTGTGCACTGTTAAATAATTCAAAATAAGATCAGTAATATGAGGGACATCTGATAGGGGGCGATTGCTGGTTGGATATCAAGTTAAGAATTTAGTCCTAAAACTTTCTTGACATTTTCCCGGGAACTTATCCAGCCGGCTACTTAGAGCAAAGTCCTAAAAGTTAGAGAATGAAACCATGAAGGCGCGCAGCCAGCAAATCTCCTTAAACAAAAAAAGATCAGTGTGTAAGCGTGTGTGTGTGTGCAGTGTGATGCCTTCTTCTTTTGGTGTGATATGGATTTGACGTCAGCACTTCTAAAGTCCTGGTCCTACAATCACACACACAAATAAAAAGCAACGCACACAAAATTATGTTCCACTTAAAATTCCCACAGGGCACAAATGTGATGATACCGTATCAAGAAAATGGCTTTGTCATAATTTTATGAGCTGGAGAACGGTAACATTGTGCTTTGACTCGACAGTCTAACAATCAGCGGCTGGCAGGATGTCAATGTCTGGGTGCAAAGTTTGTGATAAATTTCATGTTAAAGCATGGAGATTCATTAGGACACCTTCCATTGAGATAATTTCTTTCTTTTTTTTTCCTGAGGGATTCCATGTGGTGTGATACCTCCTGTGGATAGGTGGGTGTTTTCACCTGCAACAGTGACTCTGGTACTTACGCCTACTCTCATAGATAGCCCTGGACTTCTCAAATAGGTCATATGGATCTGGTTTAGCCAGTGCCAGGGCCTCGGAGGCTGAGTCTGGGACCGAGGCCCTGTGAAGATGGTGTGTTGGGAAAGGGGCGTTGTGGGGGAAAACGGGAGCTGACAGGCTGGTCTGAGCGGGACTGCTCTGGCCCTGCTGGGACTCCCACTGCTCCAGCACCTGCAAAGCACAGCGGCATGAGGGGTCAGTATTCCCTTCCGGCTTCCCCACTCGTGCCGATCGACTTTAGCTCAGTCACCAGGGTTAAAAAAAAAAAAACGCTAAGAAACGAAAGCACACTTTGCTGTGGAGAGGTCTAGCTGTTCACTTATGCCCACCCGCCTAAAGTTACCAGACCTGTCAAGCTTTGCGCTCACATGGAAGATATAGGCCACGCAGAGATAAAAGCGGCCCATTTTTCACGCGTCCTCAGCCTGAGTTAAAGCAAACTCCACAATTCCAGACAAAGTATAGCTTGTGTCGGAGAAAAATACAACTGTCGGTGGCCTGTTTTGTGCATCTGGAGATTCCATCTGACTTCAGTTTAAAAGTTATACTTTGCTATCTATCATAATAGAATTTAAATAATCCTGTGGTCTGAGATGGTCTTTGGATAGTTTGCAAGCTTACTGGTTTGTAGGGGAACATATGGGGAAAATGCTGTGGCCCAGGACAGGTCCAACACCACGGACTACCCCAGGGTGTCCCATGTCTATCCACCGACCGGCAGTGCCATGATAAACGTGGTTGGTTAAGTCACTGAAACCTTACATGGGTCCTCAAACATATCTCTTAGGGCATTTTATGGCTGAGGCAAATCGCCACGTTTGCTAACTCACTCTAAATGTGCTGCAGAGAAATTTAAAGCTTGACAGATCTGCTTTGGTGTGTGATGGACTCTGAGTGGTGGAGAATTGGACATCTATTTGCAGCGGATAGGGGCTGTAATTTTTATTTGCGGGTGGGTGTAAGAGAACTCTTAATTCAAGCGTCAGGTTAGTGGGGTTAGTAGCTGAGGAAAATGGGCCTCCTCAAGTTGGGGTCGTAAACACGAGGGAACGTGATGACTAAATGAATAATTTTGGAGGGCGGTTTAAGGATGCATCCTCTCTCCAATAGCTACTCCTGTGTCATACGATGTTTGGCTTCGTTCAAATTCAAAAGCACATTTTGCAAATGTGCATGAGCGTCTGAGGTGGTGGCAGCAGCTTTGACAACACCAGTCACTCAAGAGTGTCAGCTCTGATGCGTCAGACGAGGCCTGGCCGAATGAATCACGGCACGACAGCGGATAGTGGAGATGACATGTTGACGTGTCAGAGAGTGATCCGGAGGGAACAACAGGCTCTCTGAAAGTGAGATGGCGTGACTGGCTGCATATGCTGCACACTTCACGCTGAAAAAGACGAGGAATCTAATTCAAAATGTACTGAGAAAAAAAAAGATAAGAGCTCCGGGCAGGAATTAGACGTGTTCCAGTGTTTGTGCTTTCAGACGTGCCGGGCATTTTTGTTATATTGTGGCAGAACGCTGAGAGCCCCTGGTCACTCTTTTACTCCAATTTTTTTTTTGTGTTTGGTCAAAATACTCTTTGGGACATTCACTGAAAAGACAAAAAGGCAGGCTGTAGAGTTTTCTGAGCACGCTTAATTCAATAAGTATACCTGCAGGTGCTGCAGTATTAGAAACAACATACACTTGGTTGGATTTGGAAATCTCAATAAGCTTATTTGCAAACAAAGCTCTTGAGAGAAGCAGTCTGAGCTTTGCTGGACTGCAGGGTGATATTACAATAAGGCAGTCACTTGCTCTTTCTTGTTTGTCAAACTACTCAACCTTTCAATCTGGGGGCTGTGGAAACCTTTCTGTGACAAATGACACCTAATTAAAGTGACTGAACTGAGACTGATGACTGCAGCTGAGGGGGGAATGCAGACCAGGTCGGAGCGTCCAGCAGATGAACGCCGGGCTGGAGAAAGAGTCGGCGACCGGACAGGAAAGAAGCTCTGAGTGCTGACTGGTGCATTTATGATGTTTCAAGGCTAAGTGCTTAGACTAATGCTTCCGAGAGCGATGGAAGGGACTGATTATGTAGAGAGGGATCTGGAATCATACACAATGAAAGGGATTTTTTTTTAGCTACAAAGCATCTTAAAAGCTACAAAGTTGAGGCTTCCTCAGTTGTTAGTCAGAATCTGTAATAGAGACGACGTGAGCTGGGGTCAGGGACTGGTCAGAGCAGCACTAGGAGGATGCCCAGGCATGAAATGGATTACACACACAGCCGCACTGAGTGAAACAAAGAGGGATGGGTTGAAACACTCGTGTGAAGGCATATGAGCGTGACAAATGCTTATAAAGCCAAAGTGCATCTGATCTAAGAGGGCGTTTGGTGGGTCGCATTGTTTGAGGGCCCAGGCGCAGCGAATGACACCATGACAATTTGTGCCCAGTGGCGATGGAAGCAGGAGAAGGAGCTGAAGGCAAAGCGGCAGAGACACCACACCAGGGGATTTAGAACCGATGCGCAAAAAAAGGTCATGAAAGTGCAGAGGGGGGCTTTGGAAATACGGAATTAGCGAACGTTGAGGATTGAAAATAAAAGATTAAATCTGGGCCATGCCAAACGATCTTATGGTGTGGGGATGCCAGCACTAGAGCTGTGGCATATTAGCACAATGCGAATCCCCTCATGGCACAGAGTCAGGCTCTGAATCGGGACTGACCTGCAGGAGCAACGTTCAGTGATGCTACGAAGGGGCCGCTTGGACTTTTTGCACTCTCACAACAATGCAAAAGTTTAAACATCAAAAGCGAAAAGGAGTCATCAGTTGAGTTAGTATGAGAGAGGAGAGGCCAGAGCTTTAGATGTTTTTAAAATGAAGAGTCACATACAGCATGCAAAAAAGCAGCTGCTGGAACTAAAGCAAAGATCTACTCAAACCAATGATTAAAAACGAAAAAGAAGATAATCCTGTTTTCTTCTTTTTTTTTTTTTTAGGCTGTTAAATGTTACCTGTTTTGGGGTCTTCCAGGGTGAATAGTGACCTGTAATATTGAGAGAACAAAAAAATGCTTTAGGCTGAAAAAGTGAAAAAAGAAATTTGCAAAAGAAAGTTCAATTAAAAAAGAACAAAACAAAGAAAAGCTCTAAATAATGAATCAATAAAAAAATGAAGATTATCATCAAAGTTGCTTTTGAATGGTGGAAAGCACAAAGAGAGATACATGAAAAAAGCATGAAAGCACAAAGCAGAAGATAACAAATGAATATAAATGAACAACTGACACGCTGAGAATGCAGCGGAAGACCTTGAACAGAGAATCCTGAAGAACTATGGATCTGATATAGGATGAATTTAATTAAAATCCTGATTTGACCAATATAACTGCTGGCCATGAGAAAAAGAAGAAAAAACTTTATTATTTGTTCCCCCAGACATGTAAACAATCAGTTGAAGATTGAGCAGTCTTAGAGCTAAAAATGTACGAGAACTATGTTTTTTGGGGTTGAAAACAGCTGTTGAAAAATATCATTGTTTGAACAGTTAGAACGAACTGGAGCATCCAAAGGAGATTTACGGCTTAAGGCCTTTTGCATGAGGAATGTGTCCTCAAACTGTTGACCTAGGAGTTTCAGACCAGAAGGAGTGAAAATGCTCCGTGAAGCTGAAGATAACACAACAATAAAAACACCAAAATATCAATGACAACAGAAATGAAAAGCAAACATGAGAATAAATAAATAAATATACATATGTATTATATATAAATGCATTATGTAACAAACCAGACAACAGAATATCAAAGAGCATGATAATGAAATGGAAAAATGCAACAGAGAAACATGTAATATATCAGAATTTTTTGGGGGGGAAATTAAAAAACAACCAATTAAACAATAAGAAAACAAGAAATAACTAAATATAACACAACTAAACAGAGACAAACATGAAACTAAAAATTGAACAAAACCATGAAGCACTAATGACAAATCAAAAGATCTGTTAGATGTTGTTTTCACCTTTTTGTTGTCAGAGTTGTGCTTTCTAAGCCATACAGTCCAGTCTTCTGCTTTGCTTTTCAATTTTCTGACATTGTGTTTTGGTTTCCTCTGTTTTCTTGTGTTTTATATGATACATTTTTTTGTTGTTTTGTTGTGCTTGTACTACAGTGATATTGTACAACGTCTCTACACGTGACCCTTTATGTCGATTTTCTTGTGATGGAGGGCTGACCTTACACTTACGTTCAACTCACTACAATAATCCCCAACACCCGGTTCAGACCTCAGTACGCACCTGCACCACGCTTCCTAAAAGAACATTTATGAATCAATCACTGATGTGTCAGGGACCCCGAAAAGGAAATGGCACTATGTGAATGCTCTGACTTTCAGTTAAGTGGGTTCAGTTTGTAATACAGCACAGCAAGGTAAAGGGCACACCGCCCCCTCTCTCATTCCAATCCATCTTGTGATGACCTTTCAAAATGCATTGGGCACATTTCTGCCGTTTACAGCATTGTTCCAAGCACAACGAGCAGAACTCTATCTGAAGCAATGCAAGAGAGCAATCTTTAAACAGCACAGCAGCCAACTTGGATTTCTCCTTACTGCGCACACAACGTTATGGAGCACTATCTCTTCCAGTCACATTCACAGAAGCGTGAAAAAAAGGTGAAAACGCTCCTATTTTTTTTTTTTGGGGGGGGGGTGGGTTGTTTCAAATGCTGCCACTCTATTCTCCCCTTTTGGGAAGCTACACACAATATGCAAATTGAGGAATCAAATTATGGGGGTAACAGCTTGAATTATGTGCCTGCTCTGGCAGTTTTGCCCGAGCCAGACTCTGATCACATGTAAAAACATTTGCCTCACTGCGCCCACAGTGAAGCGGTGACACCGAACACCAACAAAAGTTTTTACCTTTTTCTTTGTCGGGACAAACTAAAAATACATTTTTAAAAAAAAACCCACAAGACAGTTAGAGAAGCTTAGGGAAAGCTCGATACCAATTTTTCTTTTAATACCCTCAGGAATACCTTATCAGCTCAAAACAAGAATAAATGATGACCATAACAGATGGAGAGATTTCTGCTTCTCCCCCCAAAGGAGGTCAATCAATAAAAAGCTTTCCAGAATACCTACATCTGAGTCAGTGTGAAGGACGCCAAGAACAATAATAATGGAGTTCTCTGTATGTATGTGTGTGTGTGGGGTGTGTGTGTGTGTGTGTGTGGGGGGGGGTCTTCTAACTGAGGTGATCCACGGGGTAGAGTCGCTGTTCACTCAGGCAGAGCAGACATTTTGTTGGATGTACGTGTCAGGGAGCCCTGTGGCTGTAAGTTGAGAAGTCAGAGTGGAATGAGCTGTCCACGGTGCTGAAAGCTCTCAGCCCAAATGCTAATCAGATCTGTCAGCTGGAGTGCCGAGAGCTACAGGAACCCTGCGGAGTCCAACTCGCACTCAAGTTCTGAGCTAACAGGGGTCGTGCCCTCCTAACAGTGTCACTGTCTCCCAACGCACACAAGCTTCCCATTAAACTGGTTTTTGGAGCAACTCAGTTTTTTCCTACTGTTATGAATGAGCATATATACAGTATATTCATTAGATCTCTCACATCTATACTGGCTTGGCTTAGGCATCAAAAACAAAACACAAAGTTGTGCTTTATTTTGTGGCATTAACAAAGGACAAAAATACAGTTTTGAACAGAAAACTAATTCTGCCGAATTGCCTCAGATTTCTGAATCAGTGGTCCTAAAACAATGAATAAATTCTAAGGGGCATGGTGACTCTGATAGATGTTTGCTGGTATCAGAATAGGTTTCTCCGGAAAAAAAAAACACGAAACAACACAAAATGAAAAGGCCAATCCCATTTTACCCTTCGTTTATCCATTTAAACTCTATTACTGGGGGTCGTGGCTGGAGACCATGTAGCACTTTGACATTACCTGACTCTTCAATCCCAGCACACAAGCTCTTAATGTACAAAATGTAGCCGGAGCAAGGGTTGTAATGGGTTAGGTCCCCATTGTGAATGTGTGTTCTGGGAGAGGTGCTTGAAACCTCACGGTAAGATGTCTAAAAGCACTAAAACCACAGCAACATGGTCGTGATGCTTTGAGGAGGCAAGAACAGCTGCTCCACATATAGCACTGGTGTATGAAACGAGATGACGACATTTGATCAGGGACTCTTTGTGCTTGCAGAAGACGGATCTTTTAAAAACACCAGCAGCAACGGAAAGTGGTTAAACAACAAAGATGTACAATGGGAGACATTTTGATGATGCCAACGGGGACGCTAAAACCGACAACAGCGTGTGGGAATACAGAGGCTGCCCGGGAAAAGACGTATGCATCTCCCCGACGAAATGTGGAAGCTTGACTTGACAACTCAGGTGAAACCGATTCTGTCCCGCTTGCGTTATGGTAAATCTTTCTCTAAAAATAAGCTCTGCAGCGTCAGAGTGCAGAAACAAACCATGTTAAGGATGCATGCGTGAATATGGAGGATATGAACGTTATCCAATAACCCTCATGCAATCACTGGATAATCACTTCACACCAATAGAAGCCAAATAGGAGAGGCTGATGTTTTAAATGAGGGAGTGGTAATTCTGCTTCTCCTACATGCAGGGAGGAGACAACAAGCACAACTTTAACTTTCCTATTTTGATGGTAGTGAAGCCACACACCATCTACTTTAAGCAGTTATACTTCTGTGATAGCAGCATCTTACTTTATATGCAACAATACCCCGGGTTGCCTTCTTCGGGAAAACAGGAGTGGATATTGATTGTCGGTGGGCACCTCCTCAGTTTTAAAACTTGTGGGGAGAGATCTTTAACAGTGAACACGGCTGACACTCTGATCTGCTGGCAGTCGGCCAAACCAATCACTCTCTGGCACCTTCTTTTCCCTCTCCGTCTTCTCTTTTGTGTCCAACCATCATGAACGCACACACAGACAATGAATCACTGTCTAGTTACACTCTGATTCCCTCAGAGGCTGGAGGAGGCTCAGTGAATCAAACCCTCCTTTTGTTTTTGTTTTTCCTGTAAAGAAGACCTTCACCCGAGGTCTGCATAGTTTCTAAGCAGCCTCTGGTTATATCAGGTGAGAGGTTCACACCAGACTGACTGATTCATGATGTAGAATTTACCCACGGCGACACAGGAAAGAAGGGATTATGACGCAGTGCCTTAAGACGTGAGGAAAGTGTTTGTGCCTGGCTGGAGTGTAGGTGTGCACACCGCCCCGTGTGAGTCAAAGCGTGTGTCTCGGTGTGCGAGTGTGTGGGTAGGCGTCTGCGAGGAAGAAAGGGGTGTATCTGTGGAATCTAAATGGCCGAGCGTAGAAGGGAAAGAGTTGAAAGTCCCTTGTGCTAATTGTAGCTCTGCGTCTCTGCTGCTGCCGCAACACCCAAGCAGACTGTTAATGGTTCAGGTAGCCTCTAATGAGCCATTCTGCCGAGCACACACACTCACACACACAACCGTGATAATTACTAGGAATTAGAGAAAGAGTTCCCATTCATTTGACAATAACAGCTCAGGAGTCACAGTAAAATTTAAGGGATGGCTGAATATAATAATTATAAGCTGAGCTTGATCTTCATCGAGATATTGAGGCTTAATTGACTGGAATGTCTGATGGGAAAGAGCCTCGTTTCTGGACAGCGCACTGTTGATCAGTGAGCCTTTAAACATTGAACCCCTTTTTCGATTTTCTTTATTTGGCACGTGCACGTCTGAGTTTTGGATTCCGCAGGAGCTTTTCATAGGCGGTAAACACTGTCAGGGGGAGGGAGGGAGGAGTGTGAAGGAGGTTCTAAACATCCTGCTGATCTGAGAGAAAAGTCCAACTACCGTTTCACTCTGCGACGCCTCCTGTCACCGGCACCGTTTCTCTGGTTTCATAATTTCTTTGGGTTTAAAAAAAAATCAAACACCTGGTTAGAGGGAGCACAATGACAAAAAAAGATCTAAAAAAATCATATTTTCTCACATAACCCGCATGTTCCTCACAAACAGTGACTGTACAGTCAATGGTTTCATTTTGCCGGGGAATTTACAGTTCATGTGAGACATAAACGTGGCTCTGAGGAATTTAAAAAGCCTACAAAATCCCCAGTTTGGAGTTTGGCTCGCTTTCGAAATGAAAAAAACAAAACGCAAAGGAAATAGCAAAGTAAAACGGATCCACATCTTTACACCTACATCCTTACACCTAAAAAGAAAACAGCATTTCCGACAGGTTGAACAGGGGACCAAAACAACTCAATAAATGAGACAATAATATAATTCTCCCCCTGATCAAGAAAGATTCGCAGGCATCAAACCAGGTGGCAACATTTAGCGTTAGTAATTCAGGATACAAATTCTCTCCCTGTTTTAAGTATTACTGAAAAAGCCAAAGGTGTCCTCAGGGCTACTGCCGTGTTGTTGGCCACACTTTTCTCTGAAGATTCAATGAAGTCCAAATCCAAAAATGGCTGCTCTGCTCTCCTTAACTAAAACTGATTCCAGCTATTCACAACTGCTATCTTTCCATTTCTCTTAAAAATGAGCTTTTAGCAGGACTCTTCCACCGGTGATGGCACGCTGTTCTCACCCAGCTGAGTCATGCAGACGACAACTTTCCCTCTCAGAAGATGACAGACTTCTACTAGCAACTTAAAGCTCCGTAATTGACATATTATTCAAGATCCGAAGCACAAAATCGATGAGCTGTTTACGGGTGCTGCTGCGCCGGAATTTTTCTGACGTCTCTGCTAGTTTCCTAGCAACATCACAGCGACGAAAATTCTCCCTTAAGCACAAAAAGTGGAGTAAAATATCATTCATTATGTTTGGGTCTACTCTGTTTAGAAAAGCACGGGAGACAAATAGAGTTGTGAGCTCAACCCAACGCTGCGGCGCACGATGCAAAGAGCAGAGCAAAGTTTACTTCGGAGAGACACTTTTCTCCATGACTGCCTTTTTTTTGGGGTCGATTAGAACTGATTGCTGCCGAGATTGGTGATCTGCAAAAGCCCCATGTCCAAATAAGTGCCTGCTAGACTCTGAAGCTTTTCATTGTGTCCATGACAACACCAACTTCACCGACATGAAGTGCCCTGTTGAGCAGACTGGAGCACGCCGGCTGCTGGTTTTTTTATGGGTTTTGTTTTTCTGAAATTCTCACTCTGCTGTCAGACTTTTCCGCTCTACGTTGTAGTTCCTACTCCGGCGAGTCATTTTCCTCGATCTTCTCCGGTGTCTCTCTGAATCGGGCGCGTATCGCTGAAGACCCGCAGATCAAACGAGATGTGCGGCGTGGGCGTGCAGGAGAGTCCGGTAATTATTCATGAAACTCAGTCTGTGAACCCTCTCGTCTCACCGGTCATTTCCGATTTCTGGTGATGGGCTTCAGGAGAAGCGTTGTCATAGCAACTGCCCCATAAAATATCCCCTGCATTTTTTTAGGGCTGGAAACTTTCCACTGTCCGGATGTAAAGAGGCGGTGGGCTCCGTCAGTGGGATCAAAGGGAGGTTCATAAAAAAAAAAAAAAAGGATTCTGTTATGTAAAAGTACGGTGTCGGTTTATTCAGAGCCTCGCCTCTGACTGGACCGAGCCATGCGCCTGCCTTTGAACTGGCCAATATCTGGAGATGGCGGCCATAGATTGAGAGACATCTCGATTTGGTGGCAGACATCAGTGAGCATCCAGGTTTCGTAATCCCTTCTGTGGCAGGTATCCTGCAGTCCAGAGCAGTGGGGACAATCGTACTGTTTAAAGAGGCATTCCTTCAGCATGGTCACAGTTTACTTTTAAAGGATTAAAGTATAAAACACACAGCAACATCCATTGCACTGACTGTGCTCTTGAAAACATTGTTCAGAAACAGAAAACGTTCCTTGTCCAAATTCAATCAAATCATACCATTTTAATCCTTACAAGCAATGAGAGCAGTTTGTCTCACTATGATAACAACAACACAAAGTTATTACCCTAAATTATGAGACTGGCTTAATCAATATTTACTTCAATAAATAGATATTTTAGATAGTTTAGAGGAAGCACCATCACTAGAAAAAACACTCTAACCTCTGTGACATAAAGACAGATGCAAAAATGTTTTTTTTGGGCTCATCAAACAATATATAATTAAGCGTGTTACATTTTTTGCCTGATTGTGTGTGTTTGAAATGATCATTTAGCATAATAGAATCATCTCCAGAATTCTTCTACCAGGGCAACACAAGCTGGATGGAACTCAGAGAAGTGTAATATTTGCCTCACTATTTTCCACCTCAAATATTCCACCGTATGAATGTGATCCACTGGGTTTAAGCCAAATCTAAAAAAGGAAAAGCTTGATAGCTTGGGAGGGGGTAATTTGTTTTTCAAGAAAAAATACAGCAGTAATACAGCTATTCTAAAACCAAATGTGGCATAAAATGAGCTGAAAATGAAAAATCATTAACCACAATCATCTATGGGGCAATTAAACATCAGCTAATATGTCAGGATAGCGGGAGTCCAATCCAGAAGCAGAAAGACTATCAATAGGCATTAACAAAGATTTCAATAGACAGCAAAATCTTATCCCTTAGTGTCTGATTTAAAAGAGTGGCTACATCTCGCTCAAGTTTAGAAGCAAAAAAACTCACCAGTGTTTCTTATAACCCCTTCTCCTGTTACTTTCTTTTCTAAAAAACTTGCATCTTTGCAACGTATGACACACTAATACTAAAAGGTAAATAATCTGGCAAACAGGTGACCCCCTGTCTTGTCCTTTTTAGGATCCCTTAAAGGTTTATGACTGCATTTGCCTACTACAAACACAATGTCTGCGAGCATCCAGCAGTGAAAGGGAAATGGGTAAAGTCAACAGAATCGCAAGACATGGGCAGAGATAACAAAATCATTAGCTTTGCCACATCAAAAACATCGGTGCGTGGTTTCATCTTAGCCCCATTTCTCCCGGTTTATCTCCAGCACAATGTAAAGAGTTCAAAAACAGAAATCAGAGAGCGCTCATTGTGATCTTTCTCTCCCCGAGGGGTCTGACGTCTTTGATCTTAATGAGCTTAAAGTGCTTTCATGGTTAAATCCCCGAAACACTCTCTGGAGACCCACGGCATCTAAAACCCCACCCACCTTACCGGAAGGTTTTTGGCACCTTTTCTTAAAAAAAACAAACACATGCCACCTGAAGTTTGGCTTCAGTGAGAGCAAGTATTTTGTCCAATCAATGGGACTCTCAGCTCTTTATATCAAAGAAAATCAACAGGAACAGATGTGATTTAGCCACCGACGTTAAACCATATCAAGATCTGGAATAAGCCTGCAAGAACGGCGTGTAAATAAGGTCGTTTTTGCCTCTACAGGCCAACAGGCAGGCAACAGCTGCTCCACCAGTTAAACGCTGACAGATGGAGGGGCCACTTTACCGACAAATAGCAGAAGATGTGTTTTTTATGTTTGTATATGGGAAATGAGATTTTTCAGATGGCTATGGCCTTATTTTTTGAGATGGAAAATAAGATCCCTTCTTCTTCTTTTTTTTTCAGCTCCTGCCCACTGACAGAGAAATGGGCCAGCCTAATGAAGAAATTTATGGCCACTGGTCAGTGCATTCAGAGGCCGCCGCTGACCTTTGTGGGCGAGTGTCTCTGGTGTCTGGGGCAGCTGGCATTGGGATCGGCATGCGACATTACCCACCGAAACAAGCGTGTCGACTGCTTTGCTCACAGCTCACACGTGGGGGAGAGCTTAAGCGTGCAAGTCATCATCCAGAGGATGTCAGGACCAATATGAAACAGGTCACGTCACAGGGAGGAGTCATTTCTGAGCAAGAACCCGCAGATATTTACTCTTTGCCCGGGTGATGGAGAGCAACTGTTGATCATCTAACACAGACTAATCGGGGTTGTCAGCTTGGCTGTCTCACTGCTGACAGATGCACTCTGAGAATTCCATGAGAAGGCAATTTTCGGTTGCAAACAGACCACAGCTGGCATTTAGCGAGCATAGGGCACCAGTTAAAAAAGCCTTGAAAAATACACCATTCCTTTTGGACTCTATCAAGTCCAAAAACAAAGGAAGTCAATTCAGTAAGCCCCCCTGTATTCTTTCACAACGTCTGGGCCCTCTCAGAACAGCTTTGTCCTTCCTCATTTCTTCAAGCAGTCCTCAGGAATGGTCCTTCCCTTCTCTTTGATGACGTACCTTTGCTCTGTTTTTTGTCAAGATCCCACCCTGATTCTCGTGCTTTTCTCGTTAATTTCCAGTCCAGTCCTGGAATCAGCTGGTACACCTCAGCCTCCTAGCCTTTTTCCTCCCCTTCAGAATGGCCGGTTGACAGCCACTGTTCCACAGAGACCCATTTCCGACGAAGCCAGTGAGTCATACATGCACTTAGGGCAGAAGATGTTGTTCGAGATGTTGGCATTACACGAAAGCCGTCTCAAAGTTTCGCACCGCGGCGGGCACCGGTACACGCACGCCTCAGGATGTCCTGTCACCACACTGCAGGTGGATTCTGTAAATCACAGCCTTGTGGACGACTCAAGGCAGAGTGCAGCACACATAATTACGATTGTCAGCTGGCCAAGCGCACGCTTAAAAGCACTTTAGAGCCGTCAACCGCAGTTTTGATTTGGGAGGTTATGGTCAGGGTCTCGCGCAATAGAGCAAAATTCTTCATCCGTGTGAAGCCAAGACATGACAAACAAAAAGCACCAAAAGTGACTTAAAAGCGCACGCTTGAGTCAGAACTGCTGAGGAGTAAGCCTCTGTGAGCAGAGTGGCTTTTTACTCCAGTCAGGTTAAGGGAAGCTGGGCCCAGGAACACAAAAGCAAGCAGACTAGAGAGGGCACTGGAGGGGAGCCGGGCGCCAGGCGGCCATTGCTGCTGAATGATGGCTTTTTTGCAGACTGAACCACACAGACAAACACACTCGGCTTCCTCCGGCAGAGAGGAAGACCGTAGAACAGATATAGAGACACGGACGCGGCGAAAAGACCCGAGCGCCGCCGTCCGGCCGGGCGGGGCCCGGGATCTTACCTGCTCCTCCTCTCTGGACCACCAGGCTGGTCTCGGCTCCCACCGCGCACTCCTTGAGCAGCTCCACCACCTGCGCGTGCGTGAAGCCCTGCACGGGCTGCTTGTTGATCTCCACGATCAGGTCGCTCTCGCACAGGCCCGGGCAGCCCTGCGGCTCCAGGACCTGCTTGACCCGCTGGCCGGCCGCGCTGTCGGCGATGGTGAAGCCGAAGCCGTCGGCGCCCTTCACCATGGTCAGCGTCAGCAGCTCCCCCTGGGTGGCGCCCGACGAGGCCATGGACACGCTGTCGGGCGGCGTGGTGCCGGTGGTGGCCGGCAGCGAGCCGTCCAGGTGGGTGTCCCCCGGGTGGGCGGCGGCCAGCAGCTGCTGCTGGCCGGCGGCCTGCTCCTGGCCCGGCTCGGCCACGAAGCGCGCCGTGCGGGTCAGGTAGTCCAGGTAGTTGTCGTAGCCCGTCCGGCCGTTCACCATGATGGGCCGCTGCTCCATGATGCCCAGCGGGGAGATGATGGTGGTGGTGGTGGCGGTGGTGGTGTTGGCGTTGGCGGGGTCCTCGGGGTCATAGGGCAGAGGGTAGCCGCGGCACAGCACCAGGGTCACGCTCTGACCGATGGGCACCGACTGGAAGAGTTTGACCACATCGGCGTGGGTGGTGCCCAAGACGCAGACGTCATTAATGTAGACGATGACATCCCCTACAGAGCAAATCGGGAGAAGAAAGACAAACGTCAGAAATGGTCGAAAAAGCACAAAGCGAACTGTCATTAAGCTAATTAGCAGCTTAAATACCCAGACCCTGCTCAAGAAGCATGAATTTCTCTTTGAAATCTGTTTCAAGGACCATAAATCCACCGGCCTACTACATCATATGCTCACTTAATGCATTTCCTTATTTAATCTATCCAGTAAATTATCCCTAAAATAGGAGTTAACTGCTTGTGTTTGTTTTTGTTTTCTTTTGAGCAGCATTTAAGAGCGAGCAATTCTCCAGCCCCAGACTGTTTCTGGTTAGCCGGGTAAGACCACATGCAGGTCTGAGGCGAGCTTTTAAAACATCTGCAGCCTTTGAAAGCCCCTCTATAGCCGAGGGTTTGGGGAAATTCTTTATTGCTTAGCCTCTGGCTGCCCTTGGAGGACACGGTGAGAGTGAGCGAAACAAAAGGGGACTTTTATTTCAGCTTAGTGCACAAAAGGAATATCATTAAAAGAGGCAGGAAATCCGAAAGGTCGAAATGAAGCAAAGTTAAAGAAAGGAATGAACGCACATGGAAATAGGTTAAACTGGAGGCTAATGAGGAACGAGGGAAGACAATCGATCAAAAAGAGCAACTAAAGAGAAGTAACAATGAACTAAAACAAAGTGGTCACTGAATAGAACAGAGCACACAGCAGCTTTGTGAACTGACCAACAAATCAAAGTCAGATCTGTTTGGAGTAGGAGACACCAGATAAATTCGAACTTCCCTTGATGACTGATACTGCACATATAATTGTCGAATAAAACTTGATATCTCGACCTCAGCAGGCCACAAACAGCATTAGCTAGTTTGATCTGAGTTGTTTTTAAGTCAAAGCAGCAACTGGAAATAAAGTGTGGCTGTCTGCTGCTTTTGGAGGCAGAAGGCAAGAAAAATGATAAATCCCGGCCGATTAATAAACAGCGAGAGGTGTTTGCTTCCTTCAACTCCACCAATCAAATTATGTCACTGGCACTTAAAGCTGTTTTCTAGAAAAATGACATAATCAAATCTAAATCCGTGAATTAACTGCAGCCTTACAGTTGATCCCACCCGAGTAACACTACTCAGCGTAAATGTAAATTATGATATAATCTGTTCCCTCTCATTGTAAACTGTGCCGCGGCCAAATGATTTCCGAGCTTTAACGCTCTCCCCGTATTGACAGAGCGAGCACACACCTTGAGGCAAAAGGGACGTGAGGGAGTTTTTAATTAATCCGGGTAAACAGGGCCGACATTTGCCTTGAGCATTGGTGTCAGGATCAATAGTTGAGCTCACTGGCAGAAAACAAATGACGGTCTGTGACCTCACAACGCACCCGTTGTGCCCATGATCCTCATTATTTGCGAGCTGATGGGGAATGAGGAGGAATGCGGAACACCAACAGACGGGGGAAACTTTTGATCTGGCACGCAAGCACGTGGTCCGGCGTGCATGTGTGACATCTCCCTCTGGAGCACCGCATCTTTCATGTGAACGAGCGGAGGTATGATTCATTTCGGTGTTCACAGAGGTGGAAAAATTCTATACACAATCAACTTTTTCTGATTCCGCATCACACTTTAAACATTCATGAGCAGTTGTTTTCCTGCTCATGACAAATTACAGTTTTTTGGGCGGGTAAAAAGCTCAACAGACTTTGTATTTCAGATCTGCAAACGTTGTAAATTAGATCAGTGTAAAAAGTCACAATATTTTTAGGATACCCCCTTTTGGATGCCAAGATAGATGCAAGGAAAAATCTGGACAAAGTGAATAAATAGTAACTCCTAGTGCCCAGGACAGGTGTGGATAAAATGGAAAAATAAAAAGAGAAGCAAATGTATTAACAAAGGCACAGTCATGGCCGCCAAACAGCTCTCATCCGTCCCACCTGCTGCAGACCTGTTGTAATTCCACACTGGGACCGAGGCCCACCATCCCGGCCAAGCCATTCTTCATCGTCCCGCTCCTGCATATTCCTTTTGACGTTTTCATCTCAATCTAATTGTTAGCGCAGGACTCTTTTAACAAGAGGTCTCTGCGGCCCCGCTGAGAAGATGAGGCCGTAATAACACACAGCTTTGACTCGCAGCGGGGCGCCGGCTGTCCCCCAGCACAGTGGTTTTATATGGTCTCAGCTTCCGTTTCTGCGGGTCAGCTAAAACCATTCCTACAACCCCAAGTTGGAACTTTGATGGGGATTTTCACATTCACAAGTCCATTTTTTCATCGGGGGGTTTCAGTAAATTCATGCAGTCTTTCCCTGAACCATTCCTAACCCAATGGCTGCCGTGCCCATTCAGGGAACAACGTGTTGGACGATTTGAAGCAACAAGGACAAAACACCAAACATGTTTCAGAGGAGTTGTGCAGCATCCATCTGACTAAGATCCACAGACTTGTAGCTTCACTTTTAAACTGCATTCAAGCATTTGAGCTGCTTTGGTATCCAACATGCCATTTACCGGCAATGGAAATACATCAAATAACACAGTTCGTCCTGGGGATGAAATAGAACTTTATATCAAACGGGATCTTTATCAATCAAAAAAGTTTATCCTGAGCAGCTCAACCTTTCAAAAAACACTTTTTTTTTTGCTTTTGGAGAAGAATGTGTCAAAACTTATGACAATAAACCAGAGAGAAATCCCGTCTTATCCAAACAGAACAGACACTGTGGTTCATGGATGGAGTTCAGGAGAAAATCCCCCCGGCGCTGAACGACTGTTACCGCAGTCAGACTCCACAGTCTTAAGCACACTGTACTAACAGACCTTTTAATTTCACATTAAACACTGCCTGTAGCAGTCAAACTAAGCTGCTAATCTTCAAGCCAATGCGACTCAATGCTCTGTTTGCTTTTTGTACTACACAAACAGGAAAATACGAGACCAAATTTGACACACTTCTAGATTTTCTTGCAGGTATATTCTGATATTCAAAAAGGAAAACATCCAGACACACATTTTTCTTCGTGCACTGACACAGTAAAGACAAGGAAAAAAGAAAAAAAAAAAAAGCCCGGGGGGGGGCCGCGGAAGAAGGTGAAATATTTATCTGAAATTAGGAATTTCACACTCCCGCTGGTCTGGGTTTCCTCTGTGCTCTGTGAGCTGAGCTCCAGCGATCGTGCGAGGTCTGTTACAGCAAAAGTAGGACACAAAGTCTGATGAGGCAACGTGGGGGGATGGAGCGTGGCTGCTCAGACAGAAATGGAGATGAGCTGAAAGGAGGAAGTGGTGGGATTGTCGAGGAGGGAGTTGTTAGTTATTTCAGGGGACAGAATACATAACACAAGAGAGAGGGCTCTAAAATAAAACGGGCGGATGGAATGAGAAGACATAAACCAAAATGCCTCATACGCAGAATTGTCAGGACAAGCTTTATTAATCACCAGGGAATCTATTTTGGGCTAATGCGCTAACACATTTGTGAAAGAGAAAAAGAGAAAAAAAAGAAGACATTTATGCTCCAAATGTGAAATAAATCTGCAGAAGTATGTCAGACAACTCTTCATAAATATTGCTCCAGAAGTCGCCGTCTGATTAGCTTTCTTTTCATTATTTGTGATTAAAGATCTCTCTTTAGTTTCTGTATCCGCTCCACCGTATACAGACACATCACCACAAGCCGGCTACTGCTTTCCCCCTGATCTTTAACACAGATGTTTTCATTTTTTGTGTGTGTCTGAGTACGTGCTGCAGTTCCCTTCCCCAGGTGGGTTACAGGGCTCATAAGGTCCACGACATGATTAATGGAGGAACAATACTTTGCATATGGCCCCTGACATGTGCATATATCCACAAATGTAGCACACACAATGCAATGCGACCAAGTATTGCAAACAGAACATGCTTAGGTTAATTGTTTGAGTGGGGAGGCACACCGGCAGCCATTTGGTCTTTCCAAAAGACATCATATTTTTGGATTGAAATATGAACATGCAGAAAACACGTGCCAGTAACGGGAAGGGATACAATAGATTTACGAATATAAACATGGATATTTTAAATCAAATATGTCTTTGTTTTTTGCCTGGACCCCCAGTTACAGATTCTTTCTAATAGCTGATAATGAGTGTTTTCAGTTTTTAAGATACCCCCCTGTCATGAGGTGGAGCTAAAAATGGTGTTTCTACTTCCCACAAGACTAAAACATCATTACCCTATTATGCAAAAGGTGGAGTGCGTATAACAATCTGATGCCCATACGCTTAACAGCTGAAAATGTTGGGAAACGTCTTTGTAGAGCTATAACATATGGAGCCAGTACCTTCTTGTTCCTACCTCCCTTTGTCTAATCAGCCGTCTGAGCATCCTCTGATGAGATGAAGACATTTGCTGTGTGTTCTGTGGTGTGATTGTGAGGTTGACTCATTTTTTTTTTTTTTTTTTGTGTGTGAACAGCCATGTGTCACGGCTGGTGTCATCCATGCCTGCGGGCTTACCTGTGGCCATCTTTCCGTCAGCTGCAGCCGGCCCGTCAGGAATAACACTCTTGACCTGGAGAAATTCATCTGGCTCATCTCCTCCAATGATAGTGAAGCCGAAGCCCATGTTGCTCTTTTGGAGGGATGTGGACAAGAAACTGCCTTTAAGCTGAGTGGGGTCCCGCGTGAATAGCGGCTTTTCTACAAAATACACACACACACACACACACACACACACACACACACACACACACGCATGCGCACACACACACAAACACACATGCACACACACACACAGACACACATAAAATAAATTAGAAAATGCAAATACAGTTCCTAAGAGGCTTTGAAACAGTTTTTGAAATCATTAGATGACTGGATTGATTAAAGCTTGTGCGGGGTAATGCTAACAAGCCGGGGCACGGGGGAAAGCTTATCCATTTAGATAAGGGGTGTAGCCACAGGGAAACTGACAGGGCATGATCTGGACGGCAACACAGCAGACTCGGACACAGGTGGGGCTGTGGCGCGGACAGACGCAGGTGTGGCTCAGTAGCTCCGGCTCCCGCGCCAGGCACAAATGCAAAATCCATCCGCACACACTCAAACATACGAGACAACCGTCTAGCTCTCTCTCTCCTCCAAAGCTGAGAGGCGAAGGGGCAAAGGGGGTGCAGATAGCAACAGTGATCCAGTTCCTCAGTCAAACTCCTAAGCAGCACAAATCAGCAAATAACATGCTCTCAGTTGGGGATCAGTTCCAAGAGAAGATGCTTAGAGGTGTTGGGGTTAGGGGAAGAACTGGGAGGTTTCGGGGGAAGGAAGAGATGGGAATTTTTTAAAGGGGAGGCGCCTTGAGTAGTAATGAGAGGATCTCAGCCAAAAATCTTAGTCACAATGAAGCAAGTCTCTTATCTTTTCACCTCTGGAAGGAGTCATGGCTAACATGCTAAGTGATATCCTTTGCCTTTTTGTAGCTGGTCCAACTTTAGACGGGGTGATCACCCTCTCTGCTTGCTTGTGCCAGCAGATAAGACAAGTCATAGTGCTCATTCATTGCACAAATCCCTCAACTGCCTCAGGGGAAAAGCTTGCTTGCGAATTTGCATGCTTACAGTAAGTCACGAGCGCAGGCAGCCATGAAGACGACAATCAGCCCCCTTTTGCTTCTTTTTTTTTTTGGCCTACTTACTGACAAAGTGCCACAGGGAATAGGGGCTACAGACAGGCTGCTCTAGCACCACAGTGCAGGCGGCGGTGTGAAGTGGCTGCTGATACGGCTGGTGATGGGGGCACATGTTCATCCGCCGAGTGAGAACGTGCCGGAGTGGGGAGACATCGGCGGACGAGGACGTGGCATACGCGGCAGCCCTGCGTCCCAGAGCCGGTGAACGGGAGAGGTCTCCGAGGCTGCGGCAGCGCTCGGGCACGGGGCCAGCCGGGCCAGCCTGGCCGCGGGGGGGTCTGGGGAGGGTGGCACAGGGGCTGGCATCCTCCACTGGCATCAAAGTTTAAAGAGGGGGAAAATGAGGAGGCAGAAAAAAGGGTTGGGGAGAGAGGAGAGAGAGCCTCACTGGACTGTACACGTAGTGTAACCACGGAGATTGGCTCTCGTCTCCGAGTGGTGCTCTACTACGTTACTACGGAAACAAACCTCCGCCTCCACCGTCCAGACAGTGTTTTTTTTTTTTTTTTCTTCCTCCAATACATCCCACTGCTGTGGACTGGTAGTCAGTGAGAAGTGAAATCAGGTAAGAGTGAATCAGCCATTAAAACAAGCAGCGAGTCACATTTTAAAACTCACGTGCTCTTTCGGACAAAGGTGTACATTTATTTGTTATTAAATTCCTTATAGGTAAATGTTTGGATCATTGTTCTGTTTCGTGAACCAGATTCAGTTGAGCTTCGTGCCCCGGGCCAAACAAGCCCCGACCATCAGCCCTCCAGCCCCGTGTTTAACAGCTGGTGAGAGCTGTCTGAGCTGACATGCTACATAGTGCTGTGCTTTCTGATCGAGCATCTCCACTTTGGCCTCCTCTGTCTCGAGCGGGTCTTTAATATGCTAACTGAGGCCTGCGGAGTCTGGAATGTAGCTCCGACCTTGACGTGAACTTTCCGGGGACGTCCACACTTGCAACACTGGCAACTGTCCTGAATCTGTAAAAATCTCTCCTCCTGAATGATGGACTCCATAAACGTTCCGTAATTATCCTAAAAAACCTTCACAGATTGATGGGCAGCAGTGATTGCTCTTTAAGATAATCACTTGTTTCTTTTCTCCTCGGCATTGCCAAAATGTCTGTTTTTCCCACAAGTGCTCCCACTTACTAATAAACGAGTCAAGAGCACCTGACTGGCAGCCGCTGGACTCTGCTGAGTCCTTAAGGAAGCGTTTGTATCATTTTAGAGTACTTATATATTCATGTATTATTTTAACGTGTTATTGTTCATTTTAGGATGTGGAAAGGTGTGATCAAAACAAGAAAAGAAGACGAGTGCTGTAAAATTCTAAAGCACACGCTAAAGCTGCTGACTCGGCGTCCACATGAAATCTTTTAAAACGGTACTTCGAATGTTCATGTTCAAGTTCAAATCTCAGTCAGGAGATCGTCATGGTGGTCTTACCTCTGTAGATGGTGGGAAGGGGCAGTGAGGACAGACCCTGACTTTGCATCTGCTGCTGCTGCTGGAGTCTCCTCTTCGCCTCCAGGACTGGGTTCTCGAACTGGGTCCTTCTATTTATATGACTATAACAGACCAAACACAGAGGGAAAGAAAAGCAGCGGAGATTTCAGATTTCGCACGCTAACATAGCCTCCCTTTCTCATAGATCAGCCTTAATAGACCTAGCACTGCAGCAGATATTGCTCTGATGATTAATTAAATGGCTGGTCCCCAGATTATGTAACAGCCGCAGAGTGGGTTTGCCGAGTGAAAAAGAACTAACGATTGATTCTGGGACTTTTTCATCTTCGTCCATAATTCAGGCGAGTTTGTGACCGGGATTATGTAAATCACAGACTGCGAGGTGCACGTGCATCCGCAATTTCCTTCGACATCCCATGTCCTTAATTTAGTTTGTAACAGGGAGATAGTCATTGACTACGAATTGTGTAATTTGCCAGTGTGAAATAATTAGTCATCATTAGATGCTTCCCTCAGTCAAAGAGTGAGGGAAGTATCTAATTTTGCACTGGCACACATACACACACCCCATCTTTCTCCAGTCTCCTTATCTTTTAATGAACACTCTAGTATCAAAGTGCTAATTATGAAACTGCTTTACAATATTTTTACATAGTTACATAACGGCAGGGTCTGCTAACTTCTCTCATGACGTTTGCATGAGGACATGGCAAGACAAGAATAGCTTCTGGAGAGGGGAGAGCATCATAAGAGGTGTTATTTGGCTTTTTGATTTTTTTTTTTGGGCAAAATGGTCCAAAAATAAAACCCATAGTTTTGCCCGACAGTGAAGGGAAAATAAACAAACAAACAAAAAAAGATGACACATTTAAACAGGGGGGGGGAACAAGCAGTTCAATGGGGAGCCATTGCAGCCGTAACAATGAGACACACATCGGTGCATGGGAAAGAAAACACAGAATACTTGCCCCTGAGTTAATCTGCCAGTAGATTTGTGCTCCATGAGTGTATAAACATGTGGGTAATAGAAATATTGATAAACACACACACAGCCTAATGTACTTCCCTCTAAGCCAGAAGGCACACGAGAAGCAACCCCTTCTCGGATAGATTGCTGGACTGCCCCCAATAAATATGATTAACGCAGCACCAGCGGGGCACAATGAAAATCAAAAGCAAGCCGTTCCATATTAAAGATGCACCAGACTTACTCGACATAGTAGCTACCGTAAATGGGGTCATCGATTTTCTCCCAGCCGTATGGAAGCTCTGCAAAGAAAAACAACAACAACCAAACAATCAAAAAAACAACAGAGACAACAACAAAGGTTTGTTTGTTCCGTGAATGATATTGATCTTACACGATGAGATCTCTTTAGTAGAATTAGTTTAGATCATAATTATGACAGCGGGTAATTACTAGGACCAATTAAGAGTACCATGACATTCTAAGCTGAAGCGTTGTTATGATGTTTTTTTTTTTTTTTACAAAAAAAGTGGTTCCTCAGCAACTTGTCGGGTCCATTGATTTGAAGAGGCTGTTGCCTCTCTATTGTTGCGGATCAAATGTTTCCCCCCTTTCAAGCAAAAGAAGCAAGCGTACACAAAAACACACAAAGACAGAAAACGCTGACACTGGCTGCATTCAAATCGGTGATAAATTCATGCGCGGTGTCTTCTCCCACCTGTCAGTGTTGCACGTAGGTGTGGGAACTCTGCAGAAACACTTTTCTTTTCTTTTTTTTCCTCTGAATAATGCCCCTCCTTTCCCAAACAGATGTGTTTAGTCTCCATGTGATGTTACGGCCCGGGGAGCCAGCTCGCAACACGTGCACTTCCACACTAGGTTGGGGAAACTCTGAAGCACAATAAATTCTGCAGGCAAGAGTGTTCCCAAAAAAACGTTGACAGCCCAAAAACATTTGTCTACAAAGCTGGTGAAAAAGTGACACCCTCAGTCACATTTGTTCTTAGCATGAAAACAAGATTGAGCCAAAGAGGCGCGTTGCAACTGTTGCAGCATTGGATAAAAAATACCTGCCGTCAGCTCTGATATCCAGCTACACAAGTTTTCCTTAGATTGCACCCGCACACTGAAACGTGGGGTCGGCAATCGACTTCGGTGTAAAATCTATTGAGTTGGAATTTCAGGGGCGAGCGGCTGACACTTTAAAATGAGAGTCCAGCGCTGGACGTCAGCTGTACAAACAGAAATAAGGGTTTCACGTCGAACCGAAAATTACCTTTGATTAATTACAGAGCTACAAAAGGTGATTTCAGACAGCTCAGACAGGAAGGGGATGAAAAATGACCCATTTTTGGGGGGACATTGCTCATACTCTACTGAGGTACACGGGGGGCTGTACCTTTGTAGTCTATTCGTCCACAGGATTATATAGGCTGCCTTCTTTTATGTATCTGCCCACAAATCCTACACAGACAGCAACTTTAGAAAATACAGTTGCCTGACTATGGCAACAACTTTAAAGCATATCCCCAAAAGTATATAGTTTAGCATAATAGCGGCATGCTTTAAAGCTGGTGTGGAGAGTGAAGGACTGTGCAGGATTAGCATCTAGCTGAATGTGGTAAATAGCTCAGGGACGGTGCGCTCAGGTGCTGCTCTGCCTAGAATTCGACCAGCTTGATTAGTGACATGCAAAGTTAATCAGGTTGATCACAGACATAACAACAGAGAACATGCCTCCCAATCAGAGGGGGGAGGCAACCAGAGGCAGCACCAAAGACTCTCAGAGTTTCTAAAGAACTCTACAGCTCGCAATAAAGATGCGTATTCTTGTTAACATATTGGACATTATGCACCGGGTGGTCATTATATTAATCCCTGACCTAGTTTAAAGTTACACTTTCATATGCGACTACTCCAACCCTCCCTTTGCAGAGGGGGGGGGGGGATCAGGAAACAATACTGGTGGTGCTCGTGCCATTTGCTTTTCTAAACCCCATCCCCTTAACACAAATGATTAAAGTTTCAGGAGGATGCAGCACTATTTTTTGCCCGTGCACTCCCGAAAATGCACACACACGTTGTTGTGAGTGATGGAACAGAGCACTACGAGCAGGTTGACAACCCACGGGAATACCTCCTGTGAACAGTGCAACATGGCGTGGCCCATCTCCACTCATTAAATATGAACGAGTGTTTCATGTTCTCACCTTTGCTGGGTGGCACACACGCATGCACATACATACGGATTACATTACGTATTTCACACACGCACACACACATGCAGGGATCAAAGGGATGTCACGTCGCTCAGCAGCCTTCAAATGGAAAGCTTTTCCATTAGAATGTCCACAGAAAAAGCTGTGGGATGCCAGATGTGTGTCTGCTTTCAGTATCAAGAAGAAGGAAAATGGACTCTCTATCTGAAGATAATTGAAGATTGCTAAAACTTGGTTCTCATTCTTGTTTGACTATTATTTTTGTCTACTACAATTATTATGGTGCCTAAATCAACTGCAACGATCTGTGGAGATGGAAGGAGAGAAAATACAATAAGACGGGGGGGAATATTGGAAACGAGACAACTGTTGCTGAATGTTTAAAATGCCCGTGACTGTGGAAAATAATGCCAGGCGCACCGTTGTGTTCCACAGAACCAGCAGTTGGTGAAACGCCAACATTTAGTGAATATGCACTTTCTCAACTCAATGAGAGAAAGGAGGTGAGAAAAAGGAAACAAAGATAGAACATGCCGAACCGTCTTCACGTGTTAAATGCTGCGAAGCTGAACAGCTGTTAACTAGAAACAGCCAAACCTGTTTGTAGATTCTCAACCACACAGTCCTACCACTCTTAAGAGACTTTAAGAAACTAAAAATGGTCCCAAATATCATTTAGGGTGAATATTTGAAATATTATTAAGGTCTTTTAATGTGACTCCTCTATTCCAGTCATTTCAAAACACATCAGCTGACGCTCTAAAATGCTTATGGCACTGATAGTACATTGAGTGAAAATGCCTCCACAAGCAATCATGAACAGATTTAATATCACTGTGACAGCTATTGCCCATTTTCCTGTAAGAGCGCTTGTTTATCTAAATGTGTTAATGTGAAATATGCTTTAGCTCTAACCGGAGCATTGCCTTACTGGATTCAAATGTAGCAGCTTTGCATTAAAATCATTCTAATTTCAAAGATCTATGTCACCACTAAGCTATGGGTAATAAAGCCCATGCAACACAAGGCTTTAGCATTGAACCACAGTCCTCCTTAGTTAACACCGATGACAGAGTAGGGTCTAACCTTTAATTAGAATAATAGGATGCAGAAGAAGCAAAAAGCTGTATGTGTAAACAGATTCTGATTAGTGTTGTGAGAGGTACTAGACGGTGTCTCAAAGTGCAATTTTTCCCAAATGAATCCACCTAAGTTTCAACTTGGTCATTAAAATGGTAATAGACTTATAGCTCACTCACTGTCTCACAACCCAAAATGAAAACCATAAGCAGTCCCCTCACGTCCTTTTATCTGTAGTTTGACTGTTAGGCATTTAATCCTGTCGGCCCTGATTTTAGCTAGCGGCCATTATTCAGCAGTTTTTCAGGTTCCACACTTTTCCTCGGAGGTGTTGGTGTGGCGACAGGGCCGCAGTGCCTCACACAAACACACACAGAACACACACACACACACACACACACACACACACACACACACACACACACACACACACACACACACACACACACACACACACAAGTGTTTTTTCCTCTCAGCCAGCAGCCTGCCGATAAACGCTGAACATGGGAGGATTGTCTCTTTGCTCGCTCTCTTGTTGTCTGGCTCCACCGAGTGCCGTCTAACTCCCAGCAACGAGGAGACGGAAAGGGGTGTGTGGGAACGTTCTATTAGAATGGATTCTGCTTATCACTGCCAGGAAGGACATGTCAAGGCTGTGTTGAATATATATATATATTTTTTTACTTGCGGTTTTGATGATGAAGCCATGAAGCAATGGGAGAAATGTTTCTAACTTCTCGTCATGCAAACACATCCACCCCACAGGCACAGGGGGAGGGCCTCTTTCTGCCAGCAGGAGGCATCCTGCTATCTTCAACACTCAATAATCTCTCTTCCCCCTTTCTGTATCACCTTATTCATGCCTTTTCCTCCCTCATCCCATCCCATTTTTCTTTTAATGTATCCTCTCATCTTGTATTCTAATATATGAACACTCAGAGATGGCCCTTTTGAAGTGTTGCACACAAATTTGCGATTCTGCTTCCTTTTTTTTTTTTCGATCTTGCACTCAGAAAAAAGGGTAGCAGACTACAAAACCCCTCATACACTGAAAGATTCTACCAAGGCCTTCCTTCTCTTTTGCCATTTTTTTTTTGCACCTATTGAAAAGCAAACAGGCTGGACTGAATCACTTTCCGTGCCTGGAGCCTTTTCTTTCACCCAAAATGAAAGTCCGTCTCCAGTGTATGGCGCGCTGCACGCCGCTTCATTTATCAGGATACCTCTGAATGCAGCACGCATGCAGGACAAAAAAACTCCTCTGGACTGATTAATGAATGTTTCTGCCGGCCGACCCGAGCACAAAATCCACTGACCAATACATGGATTTTGAGAGTCCACAGTTGACTTAACATTCCAGTGAGATACACAGCACATAATCTTTTGAACAAATAAAATGATACCATTCTCTGTAAGCACAGTCCAACCTCAGATTTAAGCCGAAAAGACTCTGAAATGCCGCAGCAGCGCGGGAGATTTAGGGACTTAATGCTTGGGTTCTTACCCAGCACATAATACCATCAGAGAGGCATCAGATTGATCTGAAATTTATTTTTGCCCCGTGACGGTGACGGTGAAAAAATAGAGCCAGAATCAGGGAGAGCTACATGACCTTCAGTGACGAACAGAGTCCCTCAACGGCGGGCGCCTGAAAAAGAAACGAGCACGTCAAGGCTTTTCATGAGCCGCCAGCATCTGTGATGTTCCGAGCACAAACAGATGCTTTTCTTCAGGTCATCACGATAAAAAAGAGAAATCGTATTTTTTCTACCTTTCATCCAACTGTCGAGAAAAACTCAAATTTAACTTTTGAGACTCAAACAAATCTCACTGCCCGTGCTTCGCGTGGGAGAAAAAAGAGCTTCCAGATGTTCTTTCAGTTGGGTACATTTTGATCGTTCTTTGACGTCACCTAAAACTGTTCGTGACTCTTCTCTGTAGATGGAAGATCGGGTTTCATTACCATCTCTCCAAATAAGCTTCAAACTTCAAAATGTGCGTCATGTAACACAAAATGAAATAACTCCACCGTTAAGCTAGCCATTCAAAGCAGAGCGGCTCTTTCAGGAAGAGTGGATAATGTTAGATAAGCTGATGAATGATACTTCAGCAAAGGGCTGCACGTCACTCCACATTTTTTTTTCATTTTGAAGCTCACATGCGGCCCCTACAGAACATGTTAATGTTGCAGGCCACGTGTGAAAGCCGCTGTAAATCTATAAAAGTCAGTTTGCCATATCTTTTTTGTTGTGAGATTCTGAAATCAATTTCAGACTTAAGCAAACAGTCAGCGAGCAGCTTTTTGGCCACAAATGTTCCAACTGCTGACACACAAATACGATCCCACATTTAATCTCTTTCCAAAGATTATTTGTCCTTGTGTTTTTTTTCTTTCTGTCACATAAGAGTTCTGTTGGTTCTTAGGTTTGTAAGTTAGTTGAGTTTTTGTGGCGCACCATGTGACGTTCTGTGACTTCACATTTACCTGTCGGTACTCCAAAAATGGGACGTTGGTAACGCTGCCAACAACTGTGAATGAAACGCACTGCAACGCGTCACAACAAAACCCCCAGCTCATAACGCGCTTCCTCTTAATGTGAGGCGGCGGCAGTAATCCTGCTCTGATGTGGCCGGTGGAGAGTGAACAGTAAACAGCCAGGCCCATATCAGCGAGAAAATTAAACAATAAACTGGATTACACGCTGCATTATTTCCTGAGAATCACTTGTGCCTTGGTAGACAAAATGAATCCAGGGAGTTATAGTTCTCGCACAGCCCGCTCAATTAAAACTACTGCAAATATCATCCATCCCACTGGATAGACTAAGGTATTATTTAAAGGTACTGCAGCATATCCTTGAGAAGCCGGGGCAGAGCCTGCTTTGCACTTGCTAAACACCAAAACACTCAGACCTCCTGTGAATTCATCTCTTCAAAAAATAAATAGGTGACATTTTGAAGCCAGAAGAAAGACGATTGCATTAGAATCCAACCTTTTAGAGGCACAGTTAATCTGGAGACTCCCTATTGATTTACAACAAGCTCTGTCTGATGTTTCAGTCTTCTAATCCCGTTTAAGAACTATCATTATTTTCTTGGAGACCGCTTCGTATCACTTAAAATTTGAGATGAATAACTAACTATGACTCAGACGTGATATTTTCAGATGACCTAAAAGAGATGGTTTCTTAACGAGTGTAATCTATAATTCATAAACTTTGCTGCCTTTTTTCAAGCAACAATGAATATATTCCTCAGTTTTTGTTCTAATGATCACTATCCTGTCATGATTAAAACCGGATCAAAGCTGGAGAGGGAGGTGCTCACTCCTCTCGTCAGGTGCTACTTTTTCAGAGCCTTGGTGACGGGTGAACATGACTCGGCAGATAAAGTCTATAATGCAAAGCAGTTTACCACGTTCTGTTTTGACAGAGGCAAAGCTGCGTGGGGAATAAAGGGCAGTCTAGGAAACAGAGCCTGGAACAGCAGGGTGTGTTTTTCATATATGTGGCGGCGGCCGACTCATTCTTTTCCTTTCATTAAGAAGTGTGGTGATAATGTGCATTTAATGGAGAAACGCAATAAGGACTGGAAAATAGTGCTTTTAAGTGAAAAATGTTGCTTGGGCTGCTGCTGTTGTGAGTAACCTGAATACCTGGACCCAAGGTTTCCTAACGTTGCAGTGAGGGGATCATTGTTCACCTCGCAGATGGTGCAACGCCATGGCCGACTATTTGTCAGCTGGCGTATAGAGTAGATGTAGAAGGAGGGAAGATGAGAACTTTCAGAACTTTAGAGAATGTTGCAGGCAGAGGACCATTTAAAAATATCTAGACGATGTTGCCAAATTCAATACATATTCTTTAAATGGAAAATTGAGATACGTGACTCTAGATGCAGCCTGGATGTTTCTGCCTACAACTTATATCAATTATCTTTGTCATGATCCCCTTGCTAGAAGAGATCATGTTGAGTGACAAACTTATCAAATGAAGGGATGAGAATGGCCTCAAAAAGAGCAGTTAATTGTGGTGCTTTGGGCTGAAATAACTGAAATGAGCCTTTCTGTCTTCCTGGTTCTGTTCTGTGGTCCATGCAGCTCATTCTGTCGTGTATGTTCAAAGAAATAATTACAATGATTACTGATTACTGATTGGCGAATCTGATCTGGCAAAAAAACTGCTCCCTTGTGGTGATATTTCACAGAATCCACCTTTATAGCGACTCTAAAGAAGTTTGCTAGCCTTTAGAACTTTGAGCGTCTGATCCAGAACGCTGACCTTTGTTCTGTATATTCCTGGGCCTGAAACTGGCTCATAGTGCCAGCACTTCAGAACTTTGGTGCCTGGCCAAAACATCAATAAGCCTTTAGATTGTTGTCCTTTTAGCCTCTTTAACATGACTAATAATTCATGCGTGTGGCAGACAGTATGTGTGCAGGGCTCGGATGGAGATTAATCTCTATGCCGGGTGGTGATCAATCCCACCGCTGTAGCTGGAGCCAAAGAGCAGGTTTCAACTTTTGATGTGTTTTACTGCAGAAAAATGAGGACGGTGAAAGTGAAAGTGGATATTTTTACATATATGCCATTGTACAGTAAATCTAACTCACCTCCTTTCTTCGTCTGAAAGAAATGTTTTAGCTCCCCATCCATGAGAATGTTGCTGCCATAGTTGTTGGAGTTCATAAGCTCAAAGTCATTCTCGAAGCCCCTAGTTAATCACATGACTGCATGTGTTCAGAGTGATAAAACAGCAGCCCGGGTGTGACAGAGACCGATGCGCTGAGGCTGAGGGTCGCAATTTTTTACCTCACAACTAGACTGATATAAACCTGCGCATACACCCCCCCGGACAAGCAGTCATTGATTTTGAGAAGATGTTTGATAAGTCAATAAACAGTGACAGGAAAAGTCAGAGCAAATTGTGACACTTTCTGGGAAACGGTGCTCAGCCATGCGACTGCTTTTAATCAGCCTGCTGGCCTGTCCAAAGCATCTGTGAGGTACGCAGAAGTCCGAGCTACTCGTGACCTTCCACGCACAAAAAGAGACATACTGGAGTCTGACAAGGCACTTCCTCTCTCCTCCGTCCTTTCCAAAGTTCTAGTTTTACTGGGTTTGAGAATAAATGCCTGGCACACGGAGACATTCATGCTTTCTCCTCTTTTACGTTCCACCTGCAGAATTACGAAAACCTTCTCTTTGTCCCTTTGGGTCAGACAAAGTGGTCTTTTGTGAGACCCTTTTGTTAAATGTTAAAAAGGATAATTATGTAAAGTAGCCTGTTTCGTAATAGCCTCCTGGATGCTGCTGATTAGATGAAATAATGTATTAGGGTTAAACAGATTCAGCTCGACTCAATTAGGGCCCACACAGGCAAACAGAAATGTAAAAAAGATGAATGCATCTGTTCAATATTGAACCGGAGCAGTGAAATGCAATTCGAGTGCACAGCTTACCTGTGAATAGTATAACAACCCACAACAATAACACCACTGGCAGGGGAAGTTAATTACATTAATCATTTGGTGCGACGCAATGTTTCACTGGGAAATTGTGTGTCCCGGAAATCATACGGTTGTTAATTTGGCACATAACAAACCCTAAACGCTGTTGTTGACAAAGCGCACCATACCATGAACATAAGACCTGTCTTTTTCTATCCATTTTTATCATCAAAAACTCAAATTATCACCGTGACAACAATTCATATTGTCTATATAAAACATTTCCCAAAGGTTGTTTGTGAACTAGCTCAATCTTTCCTTTCTAGAGATCATATCCACGCATTTGCAAACTGTTTTTGACCAATGAGGCACAACGTGTCACAGGTATGAGGCAAAGTCATCCGATTAGGAATTTTTGTATGTTATTTATTAGCATCCGACACGTTTGACAACTCCTGATGTATTGCCTGGAGAACATGTGTGCTACAGTTCCATTTCAAACCCCTGCAGCCTGTGCTTGCCAAACATATAGTTGACTATGCAGTGAAGTAAGACACATTCTGTTTTCCATCAATTAAAAGCTAGACATTAAATTAACAGTAAATTACACTGCCAAAATAAACAGAAAAATAACGCTTTTACTTCTCAGATTTTTTTATTAATTTTTTGGTCTAGATTTACTCTCCTTCACTGATGCAAACCGGATGGTTTGTTAATAACACCCGTTACGCTTTCTGTGCCTACGAAATGAAAGTGTTCTCAGAAGAAACTGGGGAAGAGCTTTGTGCAAAGACATTATTTTCTGCAAATTAATTTCTTTTCATTTTGTTTGGTCTAAATCAGACCAGCTGAATTGTTTAGCTCCATTCCTGACTGGCCTCTATAACGCAGCCCTTTCCATTTTATACTCCCATAAGAGTTTCATACCGTTTAATTTATTCTCGAAATCTAATTAAATCGGGGACATTAATTGAATGCATAAACACACACATATACACACCACAGATTCAGCATTAACTGGTCAGCTATTCATTTGAAACATAACATGCTATACCTTCCTCAACTTTTGTCCCGTCTGCCCAATGCATTTACCTTAATGTCACCCCCCTGTCCATAACGGGGACATGTGCCTGTCTTGATAAATACTTCTCCAGGCCCTTTAAGGATTTTCTCTTTGGCATTCGTTGCTTTTCTCATTTTCCACGTCTTATACCAATCCATTGACCTACGTCTCAACACAATTTGCTGAAGTTATAAATCATTAACGATGACTGACTAGTAGTGGCTCAACACTCCCACGGGAAACCGCTGAGCACTGCATTGACATCAATATCAAAATATTGCTCGACTGTCAACTTTTTGTGCTTACTGACATAAAGTGATACAATCCACTCATTAATCTATTGACTGCACAGATTTGGTGCCGCGATGAGTATTTGTGTTAGTGCGCCTGGCTGTGACGCTGCTTCATCATAGCAGAAGGAAACAACGCTTTGGGGGCTTATTGATCAGTTGGGATCTATAGAAAAGAGGCACAACATGCACCAGTTTTCGGTAGGATCATTTTTCCAAGGTTTTTCTTGACTTTTGTTAAAAAGAAAACGGCTGCCGGGCGTAAAAAGGCCATAGTAAAAAACCTGTGAGATATTGCCCCCTTTATTTATTCATTTTTAACATGTCAATGGGACTTGGGCGCGAACAAACACGCGGCGTGGCTGGAATCAGCTCCCCCTGACAGTTAATTCCACCGCCGCGTCACACACCAACCCCCGTCTTCCAATCTCCAGGCCGCAGGCAGGCTCTGCCGGGGATGTTCTCAAAATACACCCATCAATCACGCTGCAGACACCCACGCCCCCCCCCCCCTCCCCCCCCCCCACCCCCCCTCACTTCCCCCTCGACCCCACATCCACTGCTGCAGAAGGCTCAAGGTGAAGGAGGGTGCTGCGTCTCTCCATCTATAATAACTCACCTGTAGGAACTGCTCGCACATAACCCCCCCCCCAAAGAAAATCATTCTGCATCATACTTATTAAAAAAAAGAAGAAAGAGTAAAAAAAAAACAACACAAATTGTATTGCTGAGGCCCCATTGAACTGCCTAAAGGAGTTAACAGAGTTAACAGGAGAGATGACATTTCCCCGGCCGGAGGGGTTTTGCCTCAGAACAGACATCGTGACAGACCTGAGCATCCACTTTCATCCACAGAGACGATGACCGGGAGAAAAAGGGAGTCAAAGAATCTTGCCGTCTCCCCAGGAAAGAAGTCAAGGAGAGAGTGTGAGCCCGACGCTTGCCTCCGTGAGACGATAATAACTCTGTCTCTTTGCAGGTGAATGTCCTCACATGACCAGAATGTAATTACACGTCTCTCCACACGCAGACAAGGGGCTGTCTGCGGGGATTCGGCGAGGCCGGAGACAAAGAGACGTTGTAATGCGATTAACGTCCTTTCGAACCCGAGCATCCTCAGAGTTCTAATCCCGTTACGTGTCGGTGTCCATTTGCATACGGTGCATGCTACCCTTTCTGAGGAATCCACTGATGAAGCGCTCCGAAAAGGTGACAACCAACATCCTGCAACTTTGTCTGCTTTTAATTCACTCATCAGTTAGATCGTCACCTCATGTATTTGCACACATCAGGTGTAAGCAGGCTGAGCAGGTGAGGGCTGACAGTGGGGCCTGCCTCGGTTTTTATTAAAGAGCCAACAAATATTTGGCAGAAAGGGGAAAAAAACGACAACAACAAAAACAACAACCTGAAGTGTGGGCTAGCGTTGAGGATCTGTAAAGAGCCCGTCCTAGTTATTTTTTTTCCCATCTAACAAAACAAAAGGAGGAGACAGGAGGCGGGGAAGGGGGACAAAGATAGATATAGAGGAAGAGAAAGGAGGTGAGAAAATGGAAGCAGAAAGAGATTTACAGAGTGAGTTATGCAACTAAAAGGCGTCTGTGATGTCAACTGCTCCGTCTTCAATGGTGCCGGCGTTGCTTTGAACATGCAGGAACTGGATATATCTAACACATATTTCTCAGCATGTTTTGACAGAATCTGGTAGTCGGGGCTGCAGCCGACTTTAAACATGAGAGAGAACAAGCTGTCTTTCACAAAAGGCGACAACATTTACACAAGTATACGTTGCTCCATGTGAACACTTTTGAACACATTTTACACCACCTCCAATCAAAAATGACAAAACAGGTTGTTCATATCCTAAAATATGAGTCGTGAGACCGTCCTCCAAACATCTCATTGTGGAGGGGTGGGGGGGGGGGTTCTACAACTGAGCAAAAAGTGCGTACTTTAACAATTCAGAAAGACTTGAAGAGAGTGGATGGAATTACCGTGGGAAACTGTTGCCCTGTGACATGTTTATTCTGATGGGAGAAACAAGGTGTCATGATACATTTGATGGATGTGAATTTATGTGTTTTGTTCACAGTGGCTAGATTTCAGCCTCGTTGCAAACCTACGGAGGATTTTGGGGCATTCAGTTTGACAGTGCGCTCTATCACCTCACCACAGATCAATGGCAAAGGTGCACCAAGGTCGCTCTGGGATCATTTCGTTGGCTTAGTGAAGCCATTTTTATCCTCAGCAAGTCTGCCAGACATAAGAAAAACAGGTCGGTCACTCAACAGAGTCATGAATTTGAAGTCCACAAGTACCTCCGGGGAGTTTCGCATTGGAGAACTCTCCAAATCTCTCCAATATATCTCTATTCCGGTTCTCATCAGTTCGGAGCTAAAAGCATTTGCAAGCACGAATAAAGACAGAGATGATTAAATGCAAATGCCAGGACAGATGTCCAGCTTTTTATATCACATGATACTGCTGCTGGGGTCAAGTCCATACTTAAAGTGTCTTCCTAATCACCTCCCAATCAAATAGTTTAAGTAACCTGAGGAAAGAGCTGATTTGTCTACAGTCTGCCTGATTATGGGGCCTCCCATTCGTTACCTAGCAGTCCGCAACTGGCAGATTAAACCTGCACAAATGGCAATCAAAGCTACGGAAAGCAAAGTTTTATTCAAGTCAAGCTTCTAAATATGTATGTCTATCTGTCCCCTTGTAGATTCATGGCGCCATTTCCTTCTGTTCTCTTCCTCCTCATCCTCCTCCTCCTCCTCTCTGCCTGTACTCTGGTCATGGCTCACAGACTCCACCCTCCAATCCTGTTAGTGCTTATTGGCGCATAGCTCAGGTTCAAACACGGACACACACTTTTTCCACCAATCAATAGCACATTTACAGAGGTGGCTCTTCTATGCCCCAACAGAGCTCCACAGCAGGGCTGCTGCTAGCAGACTGAGAAACAGTTGGCTGTAAAGATGAAGAACTTACACCAAATAGTAAAAACAGCAGAAAAATCAAACCGGACGAAAGAACAAATAATGACCGAGTCCCAGCTGCTCTAAGACACAATGTTTACTGTCTTTGTTCAGGGCTGTGGTTTTAAGACTTCCTCTGGCAGGACCCATTGAGAGGATCACTATAAATATGGTGAGAAACCAGTGGGGAAAAAAAGAAGCTTTGTTTAACTCCGTGAAAGGGTCAGAAAATAAGCTACTTTTCCACTATGGTCACGTCGTCTCCCTCTACAGACCTGCAGCCACCTCGGTGCCTCACAGTGAACTCTCCTGCCTCAAACCCTTCCGGCTGGGACCAACTGCATGCATGATAAATAGCAGATCTCACAGATATCAGCACATCTTCACTGAAGAGCCCTCTGTGGATAAAGTGTATTACAAAGTGCTGGGGATAAAGTTTGGTCCCATTTGCACTAATTCTTCACCGAGGCCTCCTTTGTTTCGATGTCATTTCATCATCCTCAGAATGTCTCTTTCTCTCACATCTAAGGAAGAAATTGGAATTTCTACAGCTACAAACGAATTCTTGGACTAAACAAAAAGATCAGAGTAGTACTATTATTTCCTATTTCGTAGATGTGTTTGGAGGCTTTTGACTCACAGGAAGGTCTTTTTGCTCAGTTTTCCCCCACACAGTGATAAACAAGCACACAAGCTCAACCAATTAAAATATAAAGTAGCATGCATGAATCCTTAGCTGACATTCTGAGCACCCAAATATCTTTTTTATTTCCTCCTTCATTCTTTCACACTAAGAAAAAATTTGCATGGGACGGCGAAAAGGGGAAAAGGGAGTTATTTATAACTGCTTTTATGGAAACGCTCGCTACATTGACATTCATCCTTCTCCCGGCTTTTCTTGTCAAGAGCGTGGGCGGTTAAAGGACACTTCAGATTTCTCTCAGTCGAATATAGAGAAGTCTTTGTAACCTCCAGTCTCTCTGGACCAGGGCTTTGAACACACATGTCACGGGGCTTCCAAATTCAAAGCAACCGGAGCTGCGACACGCGAAAAGTCTCACTAGGTTACTCCTAAAAGAGCAGAGACTCTGCACAGGAACCGGCACGCACGAGACAGAAAACGCTCCCCCGATTAAGTCGCCTCGCAATGTCTGTCATCAGATCAACAGGCGAGGCTTAAGTCTTGAAAAAAAAAAAAGAAAAAAGAAAAAAACGCTCCGAGCGACTAAAATCACTGAATGTGAGAGGCAGAAAAAGCATAAAAGAGTAAAAAGAAGAGAAGGAGATGCGGCACTCACCGTCCTCTTTGCATTCCTCGGGCGGCTTTGCCTTCTTGGCTAGTCTCGGGTCCAGCCACGATGTTGTCTTGGTGTTGTGGCTGTGAAGAAAAGACACAGAGTATGTGTGAGGGCGCGTGATAGATGGTGAGAGAGAGGAGAATTGGCACACACAGAGGACGTTGGTGGATTCTTAATTCGGCCGCAGAATTATTTGGAGAGGAAAGATGAGACTCCCTCGGGCGCCTTCCTCTAAAAAGGTGACAAGAGATACGAAAAATGCTTTAGGTGAGGAAAATGGGAATCAATACTTCTAATTTGCTCACCGCCTCTCTCCAGCGGGCTGGGGAGGCAGAGGGGCAAAGAAGCAGAGCGGGGTGACTGAGGGAGTGATCGAGGGTAACAGCTGTGGGCTTGGCACATTCTTTCAGAGCCTCAGGCAGAGAGCTGGATTTAGATCAGATATAATGATGAGCCGGAGAAACTGGATGCATCTCTGCGACT